CCTTTTTCTTGTTTATATTCAATTTTTAATTCATTTTTTGCTGTCAAATATTTTGTTTTAACTCGTTACCATTAATCAAAATCTCTAATCGTTAATCAAGATGATGTTTTTCATGCGTTAAGCTCCATTCTCTTGGTTAAACTAAACAGTCGCTGAGATCGATATAGTTAACTATATCCGGAAACCAGTATATTAGGTAATTATATATGTTTCTATTAATAGTTAACTATATATGTTATTTTTTAATTATAATATGTAACTATATATGTTTCTAATAATAGTTAACTATGTATATTATTTTTTATTATAATAGGTAACTATGTTTCTAATAATCTTACCGTAGTCAACTATGTTTGTTTAAACAACATTATTTTAATGTAGTCAACTCTATATGTTATGAAATCAGTAGATCACTATACTCTGAAAATAGATAACTATATTTTTAAATTGTTAACTATTTTCTAAAAAAACGAACTATATTTTTGATAGTTACAAATAATGTGATGTAGTTAAATATGTTATAAGATCAATTGAATAGATAGTTTCGAAAATAGTTAACTATGTTCATATTTTTATTTTTTGTCATTTTCTGACCTAATTTTTGTTTTCAAAATAGTTGGGCAAGACACATATTTACTTTTTCAGAAAAACAATTGTAGGAGAAAGTTTCCAGATATGAAATCAAGAGAAGATTTTTATGGATTTTTTTTTTTGTATTATTTACCTTAATTACAATTATATGGGCAATTTCGTCATATTTTTATTCTCTCTGTTTCTTACCTAAATATTTTTTTGGATATGTTAGTTATCTAATTAATTTCTTTAAAATTAATAATCAGCTAATTAACCCAATCTTAAAATTATAAACCCTAAAAAAATGTTTTGACCCCTAAAACCCTTTAAACCCTTAAAACTAAACTGTAATACAACATAATTAACCCAAACATAAAGATATAATGACATTTTTACAAAAATTTTGAAATGTGGCATTTTTAAAAAAAAAAATTCTTAAGGTTTTAGTTTTTCTGAATTGTGACAAACAATATACCCTATTAAATATGTTTACTTATCTTGAAAACAGCGTATATTTATATCAACTTCTCACAAAATTGTATGTTTTGAAAAGACGTCCGAAGTAGGCATGAAGGTTTTCTCTATATAAATTAAATGTTAAACTCGTGAGATCAAACCGTTAAAGTTTATCCCAAATTTGGATAACTACGCCAATTTCCCATATTATTTTTTACTTGCAACATCAATCCATTTCAACATTTGGAGCAATAACAGAAAAAGAACAAGAAAAACGCAGGTTAAACAATGCAATGAATGATGGTCCACAATGGCTGCAACATACAGAAAAATAATACAAGAAAATCGCGAGGGCAGATATCAGTCTTACATTGCTCGTGATGGTCCACAATGGCTGCAACATATGATTAATTTGTTGGCTTCGGGCTTTGGTCACCAACATTCTCTCTGATTGTTATGCTTGACCGGACACGTCGTCATGGCTTCATCCATGTATGCAGGGTGTGTCCCCTGTTTTTTTCTCTTCCCGTTGTAAGATGTCTACTGACATCAGTTTTGTTTGTTGCTTTAATTAGTTTCATGTAGAGGTGATAACAAAGCGTTATCACCTCATACTCTCTGTTTCCCTTTCATTCTTATCATTCAATAACAAAGCGTTAAAACAAAACAAAAAAAACAATGCAATGAATGGGCAAATGATTACTGAAAGAGATAGATTAAAAAAAGATTAGTTAGTGCACAAGATAAGCGTGATTCCTTTATTGGACGTATTATTTCCTTTGTATCACGATCGATTAATATATATTTATATAAACGTGGGTGATGGGTTAACATCAATCAATCATTAAGCTTCTTATCCCAATTTATTTTCTTTGTGTGTATCAAGAGTATTATATAAATCAAACAAGTGAAAAAAAGGTTGGTGGCCACGAACGAGTTAGCACACATATATATATGCAACCAACCTAATTTTTGTTGTAACACTGTTACCAAATTTGTTATTAATCGAAAGAAGAAGCTAAGAGTCGTCTTTAGACATTTAGTATGTGACGACAAAATTTCAAAGCAAACAAGTATAAAGAAAGCAAAATAACAGTTAACTTTGTTTTTATAATAGATTTAAGTGGTACGTTTTGTATACCATTGAAATTGATTTTAGGTTGATGTATGAATTGTTTATTTGGATCAGCTGTGTGATGGAAATTGAGTAACTTTTCTAAAAGTATGCAGAGAATGCTAAAACTATATGCAAATCAACTGATAAGACAACAAAAAGCTATGATTTTAAAAAGAAAACGCATAAGCTGGGTTTCCACCAATCTGATTGAAACTTACATCAATAAAATAAGTTAAGATAAAATATCAAAAGACGGTATGTGACAAAATATTGTAAAAGACCAGATCAAAAAGAAAATTATAACTTTTGTTCATGCGTATGGTAATATATAGTTTTTTTTGTCAATATTTTTTTTTTGTCAATCATATAATATATGGTTATGATATAATTTATTGGTATTCAAACTTATGATTGGTAGAGACTAAAATTTAATTATACGTAGCGCTATAGTAAAATCTTACTAATTTATGGAGTATATTTTATTCTGTATTTTTATGAATACATAGGAACGGAGGAATCATATACGTACATGGACGTTTAGGAGCATGCACACATTACTAAGCTAGGTTGCACTCAGACCGGTATGGGGACGGACACCGGGACGGAAAACAGTAATACTAAAAATTTATGGATACGGGTACAGTAGAGATACGTCA